TTAATTTTAATCCTTTCCTTATCATTTTTAACTTTTATGCGTTTTGTCCTAGGGAAAGAAAGCAAAAATTGAGCAGTTGAATATTTCAACACAAATAAAGTCACAAATGAATTTCTGGACTGTTCCAATAGGTGGAAAACAGGTGATATAAATTAGTATTTTTCCATTAGCAGTTCTTTCCTTCATTTCTTTTGTTTTTGGGCCAATAACATTTTTTTCTTAATTTTTCTTGTTCTATTTTGTTTACGTACTAACATTTTCCTTTCCCCTAGAGTATATTGTAAGTTGTATTAGGTAATTAACAATTTGTAGCTATAAAAAGCAATATCCTTGAAGTAAAAGTAAAAATGAAATAGCAACAACAGCAAATTGTCGAAGCAAACTAAGTGAGCCTCAAGTAGAGGTAATCAGAATCAAATATCCAAACCCCACCAAAGCCAGTAACCACTACTCCATAAAGAAATCAATCACTGAAATAAGGAATATAAACAGCACTAATATATATATCACCATAAGACAAATGCAATAAAAATAGGAAAATGGATCGATTTCTATGAAAAAAAAATAAAGATGGGTTCTAGGGCTTGCAATGGAAAGCCCAAATGTAGGAAAATGGCAGAGCGTGGGCTGGGCAATCCTCAGCGGTTGTTGACAGTCGTCGCCTGGCCCAGATCTGCAAGAAGACAAGGAACGAGAAGGGATTAAAAATTAGAATTTTCACCAACTCACACTACCGACCAACAATCATCATTCATCACTATCAAATTAGTAGCAGAAACACCAAAAAAGGGAAAAACTCAGAGAAAAGGAAGGAGACTCACAGAAGAAGAAGGACGACAAATGGGATTTTGGCGCTAATTGATGGTGGGAATTTTCCGGTGAGGAGAAATGGGAAAAATGCCGGTGACTGATGATGCTTATATTTTCGGTCTGCTTTGGAAGAAGTTGGGCAGTGGCAGGGTCTGCAGGGGGTGGCCACACTAAGAGCAGCAACAACCGAACTCCCCACAACAAGTTAAGTTCAAGTGAGCGCGGCGTGGGACTGGAGCGTGGTGGGGGGAGAGGGATGAGCGGTTCCACACTTGGTAGCGTAGAGGCAGCACAAGAGGATATGGGCGAGCTTTGAAGAAGATGGGCAAGAAGGGAGGGAGAAAAACGCAGATCGGTTGCTTCAGAGAGAAAGAAATGGGAGCTTCCAGGCTTTGCAAAGAAAGGGTGAGAAGCTAGCTTCTCAAAAGTTCAGCAAGTTTGGGAAGCTAACCCATTTGGTACAGCTTGTGCTTTTAGAGCTAAAAAGCTCTTCCCACAATCTGCACCAAACAGGCTCTAATTCCCAATCAGAATAGAAAACTAACACCCTAAGTCCTAAACCTAATAACCACGAATTGAGCTTCAAATAAATGAATGTTCAACCCAAAATATGAAAAATTGTGAAAATCACTCAAAATAACTTTAAAACACATGAAATATCAGTTTGCTACAAATTTTGGCAAAATTGTGTAATTTTGATGCGAATTGTGTAATTCTGTGTGAATGATCTCAATTAAGGTTCTCTTGAACCTAAATAATGTTTACCATGCCTTGATAATCATTCAAGTTTTGATTTACTTGTTGCATGTTGTTTTCAACCCAGATTTGCTCAATAAAACCATTTAAAGCTTCTTGCATCTTCTTAACTCTAGCTCGCCACTGGACCTCCTCGAATGTGTAATGGATCCCTTGACATGGTACATGTGCTATCGTCTTGATTCCCATCATAATATATATACATTCTTTGCATCATATAATAATCTATGATACGTTATATATATAAATGCATTACTTTTAGGAGCATGCATATGGGGTATGGTTTTTCTGAAGGCATGAAGCAATGTCAGAAACAAGGGAAAAAGAGAAAAAGAGAGATAGAAAATGAGTGGTTGGAAACGATTGAAAAACTGTTTCCATAATTATCTAAAAATATCTTCAAATTCAACTTTGAATTTAAAATGAACAAAGCAACCATTTCAAATAGTGGAGAAGTAATTTTAAAAGGTAAACACCAGATATTTAGATAAACTAAAATCCTTTGAAGAGTTGCCTTTATTCTAGACTAGTGTAAATGATGTAAATCCAAGTTTGACTTTAAAGGATTCCATTCAAGTTCCCGTTGGACCAGTTACGAGGGCTCGAACTAAGAAGTTCAAGGAAGCGCTTAACAGGCTGGTTCGAGAAATATGGACTCAAGCAAATTTGTGTAGGCCCATTGAGGGAAGTCCATGTGAGCCTCAGAATTACATTAGCCTAATCCAAATTCTAATAGACTCAGTCAAAGCCAAGGCTAATCTTTGCAAGTAATGTTTATGAACTTTGGGTGTGAACTCAGCAAGCATTCTAGCTCAAATTTATTACTTTCCTTTTTGGGTTTTGGCTTGCATGCCAAGTTTTTCTTTCTTGGGTTGAATTACATAGCTTGCGTCAAATCTGCCGTAGTTGGCCGCAAACTAATATTTCAAAATGTTCTTAGGTTATTTTAGCTTATTTTTACATTTGTTGTGTTATTTGGGTTAAACATTCATTTAGTTGAAGCCCAAATTCATGATTATTAGGGTTAGGACCTGGTTTGTTAGTTTCCTATTCTGGTTAGGATTAGTTTTAGTTATTTATAGGGCTGCAACCCTAATTGTAAAACAGATCATTATTCATCAACATTGTGAGAACGAAATCTTTCTGGTTCTTTGAACAACTTTTCGAACTTATCGGAATTATCCATGGTGTTCATCCTCGACTCATCAATCAACCTGATGGAAATCAAGACGACAGCATATCTACTACGTCATGTGACCCATTACACACCCAAGGAGGTCCAGTCACGTGAACTAGAGCTAAGAAGATGCATGAAGCTTTAAATGGCCTTATTGAGCAGATCTGGGTTGAAAACAACATACAATAAGCAAATCGAAGCTTGGATGATTATCAAGGCATGGTAAACATCATTCAGGTTCAAGAGAAGCCTAGTTGAGGTCATTTGCACGGAATTACATAGTTTGCATCAAAATCGCACAATCTGCTGCAATTTGTAGCAAACTGATATTTCATGTTATTTTAGGTTATTTTTAGTGATTTTCACGTTTTTTGTATTATTTTTGGGCTGAACATTCGATTATTTGAAGCCCAATTCGTGGTTATTAGGTTTAGGACTTAGGGTGTTAGTTTCCTATTCTGATTAGGATTTGTTTTCTCTATTTAAAAGGCTTGTAACCCTAATAGGGAGGAAGCTATTGAATCTGAGATTTTGAGAGACTTTTCTCTTTTGTTCGTTTCAGAACTTCTGATGGGAATCAAGACAACAGCATATCTACCACGTCATGTGATCCATTACACACCCAAGGAGGTCCAGTCACTCGAGCTAGAGCTAAGAAGATGCGTGAAGCTTTAAATGGCCTTATTGAGCAGATCTGGGTTGAAAACAACATACAACAAGCAAATCAAAACTTGGATGATTATCAAGGCATGATAAACATCATTTAGGTTCAAGAGAAGCTTAATTGAGGTCATTTGTGCTAAATTACATAGTTTGCGTCAATCTTGCAATTCTGTCGTAATTTGTAACAAACTGATATTTCATGTTACGTTAGGCTACTTTTAGTGATTTTCACGTTTTTTATATTATTTTGGGCTGAACATTCATTTATTTAAGGCCCAATTCGTGGTTATTATGATTAGGGCTTAGGGTGTTAGTTTCCTATTCTGATTAGAATTACTTTTCCCTATTTAAAGAGGCTTGTAATCCTAATTGAGGAGTCTATTGAATCTGAGATTTTGAGAGACTTTTCTCTTTGGTTCGTTTCAGAACTTTATAGAACTTATCAAGATTATTCTTGTGGCGTTCTAACCTGACTTATCATTCTCGTTCTTAATCGCTCGAGGGTGTGGCGTCAACCAACTTTATACCTCTGGTTCTTGTTGCGTCATAGACAACGGGTCAATGTTTTTACCTTTGGTTCTTGTTGCGACATAAACAATGGGTCAAGGTCCTATTATAAACCTGATTTAGCTTTCTTGGAGTTTAGAAATCCCTTGTTGTGTTGTGGGTCTCATTGTTCTCTTTGGGGTTCTCATCAACTTCATTGAGATTATTCTTGTGGCGTTCTAACCTGACTTATCATTCTTGTTCTTAATTGTTCCAGGGTGTGGCGTCAACCAACTTTATACCTCTGGTTCTTGTTGCGTCATAGACAATGGGTCAAGGTTTTTACCTTTGGTTCTTGTTGCGACATAAACAACGGGTCAAGGTCCTATTATAAATCTGATTTAGCTTTCCTGGAGTTTAGAAATCCCTTGTCATGCTATGAGTCTCATTGTTCTCTTTGGGGTTCTCATCACAACCCTTCCATAGTTGATTGTGGCGTCTTCTCCATACCAAGGTTCTTACCTCGTCATAGGTAATAGGTCACAGTTCCATCCTCTTGAACTTGTTTTAGAAACGGTCTTGGTGCCTTGTCTTGTTTACGGGTTTCGTCACAGGTTGGCGTAGTTTGTATCAGTTTGGTATCAGAGCACAGGCTCTAAATTAGGTTTGCAAAAGAAAAAAAAGGAGAGAGAGGAAGTAAGCAACACAATTCTGTGGTTGGAATTCCTTATATAGAGAAGAATCCGTGGCTAAATCCTTAAAGAAAAAGGAATCTTACTACAATAAGGAGTTGGAAATTCTCCTTGAGTTCTATTCAAATAAGGAGATAGCAGTTTTGTTCGTTTCTTCTTCCTAAGTTAGGAATCCTACTGTCTTAAGGATTCGTCAATCCAATTTATACTAGGAATAGTCAAACTGATTTGTCTTTCTTGCTTATTTTATTTTATTTTATTTTATTTTATTTTATCGTTTCGTTCGATTGTTCTAATATCCAGGAGTCCTAATCTGACTTGACCCCAAAGTGCAAAATTTTTGTCCAAAACTTTCATGTTTTCCGTGAATCCCAAAATCTGGTCAGTACGTGTTCATAGCCGTCTTCCTGTTAAAACTCGAATTTTGGTTGGTAAGTTTTTGGTGAATTGCTACTGGAATTTTGAATATTGTTTGATTAGTTTGAAAAGAACTGAAAGAGAATTCACGAGTGGAAAAAAAAGGCAAGAGTGGTGAGCATATTGGAGGGTAAAAGCCAATTCAGTGAAACATGAGCGAAATTAAGTGATATATATATGTATTTTTTTTTTAGTGAAATACGTAAGGGAGTGTGGTGAGGTCCTTTCCATATTGTTTCTAACCCCATTTTGCATATTACAAGCATGTCACGCAACCAAGAAGAAAACTCAAGTGAAAACCCTTCCAAACCTACAGGTGCAGGCGATATTGAGAGAGGTGCGGCGGATGGTGAATAGGTTAATTGAACCCATGTAAGAGCAATTGGAAATGTTGCAGTTGGAGAATAGGAGGCAGCAACAAAATTCTCCTGCTCGACCACCACCTAGGCAGATGCAGCAAAGAGAACATTGGGGTGACATAGAAGAAGAAGAGGAGTTGGAAGAGTTAAATGAGCCACCATTGAACTGGGGTGGGTTTAGGCATGGGAATGGGAATAGAGAAGTTAGGAATTGGAAGGACAATAGTTTGGGCAGCATCAAGATGAAGATTTCCACCATTCCAAGGAAAAGCAGATCTGGAAGCCTATCTTGAGTGGGAAAGGAAGGTGGAGTTGGTCTTCAATTGCCACAATTATTCCGAGCTTAAGAAGGTGAGACTGGCAGCCATTGAATTTTCTGACTATGCTCTTGTTTGGTGGGATCAATTGGTCATAAATAGGCATCGGAATCGGAATCGGGAGCATCCCATTGAAACATGGGAAGAGATGAAGGCAGTGATGAGGAAGCGATTTGTGCCCAACCATTATTACCAGGAATTGTACAAAAAGTTGCAAGGGCTTAGGCAAGGACATCGGAGTGTAGAGGAGTATTATCAAGAGATGGAGAAAGCCATGATTAGAGCCAATGTAGAAGAAGACCGAGAGGCAACCATGGTGAGATTCTTTCAAGGATTGAATCCAGACATCCATGACTGGGTGGAGATGCAACATTATGTGGAGCTAGAAGACATGGTGCACATGGCCATCATCGTAGAGCGACAGCTCAAGAAGAGAGGTACATGTGCTGGCCATAACCCAGGGTCTAATCCTTGGAAACCAAGTTCTTCCAGAAAGGAGGACAAGCCACAAACTTAATTCTCAAGCACTAATCTGAGCATAAGAGTAAGGTTAAACCCCTATTTTGGTCCCTGAACTATTGTACGGACCCCGATTTGGTCCCTGAACTAAAGAAATCCCTAATTTGGTCCTTGAACATACGGACCCTGAGTTGGTCCCTAAACTATTGTACAGACCCCTGAGTTAGTCCCTAAACTATTATACGGACCCCCAATTTGGTCCCTACTGTTTATCGATTTAGCCCCAACTTGGTCCTTCTGTTAAATAATAGCTCAGGGACCAAATTGGGGTGAAATTGCAAATAGTAAGGATCAAATTGGGGATCCGTACAATAGTTTAAGGACCAACTTAGGCCAAATTATAAACAGTGGGGACCAAATCGGGGGTCCATACAATAGTTTAGGGATCAAATCAGGGATTTCTTTAGTTCAAGGACCAAATCGGGGGTCCGTACAATAGTTCAGGGACCGAAATGGGGATTTAACCTTAGAGTAAACATTAATTTATTTGAGACCCAATTCGTGGTTATTAGGATTAGGGCTTAGGGTGTTAGTTTCTTATTCTTATTAGAATTACTTTTCCCTATTTAAAAGGCTTGTAACCCCAATTGGGGGGCAGCGATTGAATCTGAGTTTTTGAGAGATTTTTCTCGTTAGTTCATTTCAGAACTTTACCGAACTTATCAAGATTATTCTTGTGGCATTCTAACCTGACTTATCATTCTCATTCTTAATCGTTCGAGGGTGTGGCGTCAACCAACTTTATACCTTTAGTTCTTGTTGTGTCATAGACAATGGGTCCAGGTTTTTACCTTTGGTTCTTGTTGCAACATAAACAACGTGATACGAACTATGCCAACCTGTGACAAAACCCATAAACAAGACAAGGCACCAAGACCGTTTCCAAGACAAGTTCAAAAGGATGGGACCGCAACCTGTTACCTATGACGAGGTAAGAACTTTGGTATGGAGAAAATGCCACAATCAACTATGGAAGGGTTGATTGATAAGTCAAGGATGAACGCCACGGATAATTCCGATAACTTTGAAAAGTTGTTCAAAGAATCAGAGAGAATTTGTTCTCACAATGTTGATGAATAATGATCTGTTTTATAATTAGGGTTGCAGCCCTATAAATAGCTAAAACTAATCCTAACTAGAATAGGAAACTAACAAACGAGGTGATAACCCTAATAACCACAAATTTGGGCTTCAACTAAATGAATGTTTAGCCCCAAATAACACAATAAACGTAAAAATAAGCTAAAATAACCTAAGAACATTGTGAAATATTAGTTTGTGGCCAACTGCGGCAGATTTGATGCAAACTGTGTAATTCAACTCAAGAAAGAAAAACTTGGTATGCAAGCCAAAACCCAAAAAGGGAAAGTAATAAATTTGAGCCAAAATGGTTGCTGAGTTCATGCCCAAAAGTTCATGACCATTACTTGCAAAGATTAGGCTTAGCTTTGATAGAGTCTTCTAGAACTTGGATTAGGCTGATGTAATTCTGAGGCTCACATGGACTTCCCTCAATGGGCCTCCACGAATTTGCTTGAGTCCATATTTCTCGAATCAGCCCATTAAGCGCTTCCTTGAACTTCTTAGCTCAAGCCCTCATAACTAGTCCAACGGGAACTTTAATGGAATCCTTTAAAGTCAAACCTAGATTTACATCATTCCTAATAGGACCTTGATCCGTTGTTTATGTCGCAACAAGAACCAAAGGTAAAAACCTTGACCCGTTGTCTATGATGTAACAAGAACCAGAGGTATAAAGTTGGTTGACGCCACACCCTCGAACGATTAAGAACGAGAATGATAAGTCAGGTTACCCTCCACCTTCTTTTCCCACTCCAAGGCCATATAAGCTGCAATGGTTAAATGATTGTGGAGAAATTAAGGTAAATAAGCAAGTTCTAGTTTCATTCTCTATCAGACGCTGTAAGGATGAGGTACTGTGTGACGTGGTTCCTATGCATGCTGGACATTTACTTTTAGGGAGACCATGGCAATATGATAGGAGGGTAACACTTGATGGCTTCAAAAATCACTATTCATTTGTCATGGAGGGGAAAACAATTACTCTTGTACCATTGAGTCCAAGGCAGGTATATGAGGATCAACTGAGAGTAAAAAAAGAGAGTGAGCTGAGAAATGAGAGTGAGCTTGAGGGTATGAAAACAAAGAGAAAACAGCAGAAAAAGAGTCCAAAAAGAGAGAAAAGATTGAGAGTGTTGAAAACAAAGAGAGAAAAATCAATGAGTGTTTACGCGAAAGAAAGTAATGTCAAGGCTGCGTTCTTTGCAAAGCAGCCTATGTTTGGGCTTCTGTATAAAGATGCTTATTTCAACACTAACGAATTCAATGATTCTTTGCCTAGTGTTGTTAAATTTCTTTTACAGGACTTCAAGGACATGTTTCCAGAGGACATCCCTAATGGTTTACCACTAATAAGAGGAATTGAGCATCAGATTGACTTCATTTCAGGTGCAACAATTCCAAACCGACAAGCATATCGAAGCTATTGAATCTGAGATTTTAAGAGACTTTTCTCTTTGGTTCGTTTCAGAACTTTACAGAACTTATCAAGATTATTCTTGTGGCATTCTAACCTGACTTATCATTCTCGTTCTTAATCGTTCGAGGGTGTGGCATCAACCAACTTTATACCTCTGGTTCTTGTTGCGTCATAGACAACGGGTCAAGGTTTTTACCTTTGGTTCTTGTTGCGTCATAGACAACGGGTCAAGGTTTTTACCTTTGGTTCTTGTTGCGACATAAACAATAGGTCAAGGTCCTATTATAAACCTGATTTATCTTTCCTGGAGTTTAGAAATCCCTTGTCTAGCTGTGGGTCTCATTGTTCTCTTTGGGGTTCTCATCAATTCCCCTCCTCTTGAAAAGGATTTGTCCTCAAATCGTCTACTACATCAAAAGGACTCAAATCAGTAACGTTGAAAGTGGCACTAACATTGTACTCACCAGGTAAATCTGGAACGCCTTTGTGCTGGGAATCTTTCTTTCCTCATGTGCAACCAATCCCAATCTCCAGGTTTGAAGACCAGCTTAGAATGCCCCTTGTTGGCTTGCTGATGGGAATCAAGACAACAACATATCTACTACGTCATGTGATCTGTTACACAGCCAAGGAGGTCCAGTCACGCGAGCTAGGGCTAAGAAGATGC